ATTTTTAAAAACATTTTATTTTTATTTCAGAAAGGAAGGGAGAGAGAGAGAGAGAGGAACATCAATGATGAGAATCACTGATTGGCGACCTCCTGCATGCCCCACAAAGGGGATCAAGTTAGCAACCCAGGCATATGCCATGACCAGGAATCGACCCCTGACCTCCCGGTTCATAGGTCCATGCTCAACCACTGAGCCACGCCACACAGGCTAGAGTCCCTATCTCTGACACACATATTCGGTGTTTCAAGAGCTCATTTTAAAGTTTATTCGGGACAGGAACAAGAAGATCTAGCACAACGCCCTTTATTTCAGGTGTCCACTCAAAGGCTGGAAGCTCTGTGATGCTCATCAATTCACTATGGCCTAAGCATTATCTCTCAAGAGAATACATTAAGGCAAGTCCAAAGGAGATGGTACAGAATAGGAAACCAGAAAAAGGAGGATCATCAACATGAATATAGGACAAAAGTTCCTTTCAGTTCATCCAACAGGGACTGAGTAACCACACACATTCTCTCTTTCTCTCTCTCTCTCTCTCTCTCTCTCTCTCTCTCTCTCTCACACACACACACACACACACACACACACACACACACACAGGAGCACCCCTCCAGGGCCAGCCGCCCTCTGCAGGCAGCACCCCCTGCAGAGGGGAAGGCACAGGCAAACACTTCAGCCCTTGGGGCCACGCCCAAACCCGGGATGGCTCGAGGCTCTGGTTTGCCAGGACGGTTCTGCTTTATTCCTGTCATCCCAGCACCCTTCTGTTGGGTGTCCCCTTTCACTCCCAAAAGCATCCTGTTTGTCGTGATAAATGACATGGTCATCCATTTGTGCAAACCCCCTTTGTGCAGCCTGACGTAGTAGGTCCTTCTGCCTTGCCTCCCTGCCATTCCCGAGTCCCATCTCTCCTCCTTAGAGGTTTTGGGAACCTGACTTACACACATTGGCTTCACTCCCTGCTCCATCGATGGAAGCTCAAGCTGTGTCTCGAATCTATCTGATGAGAAAGTTCCCCAATTAAAAAAAAAAAGTGACTTAGCTTTCTAAGTGGCCTTCATCACCAAATCAAATAGGCTGCATATATAATTTAATAAAATATACATGTATACCTAGTTAGTGTCATTTGGTTGGGCATTGTCCTGTGCATCAAAAGGTTGCCAGTTGGATTCCCATCAGGCACGTGCTTCAGTTGCGGGCTTGATGCCCAGTAGGGGGCAGGCAGGAGGTTGCCAATCAATGTTTCTCTCTCACATAGATGTTTCTCTCCCTCTCCCTTTCTCTCTCTCTCTCTCTCTCTCTCTCTCTCTCTCTTTCTTCTCTCAAAATTAATTTAAAATATTTTTAAAATAAATAAAACACACGTACGGTGTTAAAAAGTATCCAGAAATTGGCGTAATCCAAATCTCAAGGTGATTTGTATTTCACTAGAAACCTACTGGAATGAGAGGAAAATATGTGTTCATTAATGTTTCCAAGAAATGTATAATCCACCTTCCCGGGTACTTAGAGAACTGTTAGGCACGGGCCAATGCTCTTAAGTAATTAAAGTCTATGGTGCCAGACAAGTGTCTCAATAAACACACGTTCTACTACCTTTTAACGTGGAAATGTAAATGCTTATTTACATTGACGTTCAGATTTGAAATGGAACAGATGTCTTGCGGCTCTTCTGAGAATCAAAATGGCTTATATAATCCTTCAGATCAAAACATTTTATATGCCATCACAAACTTTCCATTTAATTCTATTGCCAATTCAAACTATTGATGTGGTTTTATTTCAGGTTTACCGTAAAGCAACGCCTGAAGGACATTGGTTGCATTGTAAACACTCAGGTTGCTTTTCTCCTGTAAATGTCTTGGCAGGAGCTAGGCGAAAGGGTTTTCTGCAGAAACGAGGTTCGTGTGAAAGATTTAAGAAGTATCTCTGAGAAAGTTTGCGATCAGAATATTCCATCAATTGTGAATTAGGTTCAGATGGAAAGCTAACGTACTGACTTACTTCAGGAATGTTTACCTAGAGTTTCTTTCATTTATCAATATTTAGACACAACAAGTATTTTAAACATGAGATCCTATTTTCAAACCAGCCTGTGTGCCACTGGAGCTGTTGGCTAGGCTTGATAAAGTAGTCTTTGGGCTCCTGGTATGAGCAAAGCCCTGTGACAGTTACTGAATGAGACAACGTGCAATTTTATTTTTTTTAATTAAATTATTACCTGTGTACATATTTTAACATTGCCCCCCCTCCCATACATACCCTCCCTCCCCATAGTTTTGTGTCCATTGGTTGTACTTATATGCATGTATACAAGTCCTTCGGGTGATCTATTATCTCCCCCAGATCTCCCTACCCGACCTGATGTAATTTGACATTCTACTTGTTGATTTACTGTCTCTATATCTATCTTTTGGTTCATCCGTTTATAATGTTCTTTATTATCCATAAATGAGTGAGGTCATGTGGAGTTTCTCTTTCATTGACTGGTTTATTTCACTCAGCATGATGACAACGTGCAATTTTAATGGGATGCACGGGAGAGGCCTCTATGACCATCAGAAAACATAGGTGTTTACATGACAATTCATTAACAGTAGCAAAATTAGCCGAAACCGGTTTGGCTCAATGGATAGAGCGTCGGCTTGGGGACTGAAGGGTCCCAGGTTCGATTCCAGTCAAGGGCATATCCCCAGTAGGGGGTGTGCAAGAGGCAGCTGATCGATGACTCTCTCTCATCGATGTTTCTAACTTTGTATCTCTCTCCCTTCCTCTCTGTACAAAATCAATAAAATATATATATTTAAAAAAAAACAGTAGCAAAATTACCGTTATGAAGTAGCAACAAAAATAATTTTATGGTTGGGGGTCACCACACCATGAGGAACTATATTAGGGGGTCATGGAATCAGAAGAGTTGAGAACCACTGTAAGTGATCACAGAATTGTAACAGGAAGAAAGAGGGGGTGGGTGAAAGCATGAGAAGAATTCTAGGCATAAAGAATGGTTGAGGCCCAGGTGTGTGGGGAGAGGCGGGAGAGGTGGAGAAACAAGGTAAGCGGGCGCTGGGTCGGATGGTGAGGGAGATGGATGTGCAGGAGATCCGGTGTCTCTTCCTGCTGTACAGCAAGTTTCCAGGCAAAGAAAAGACATGATTCAATCTCTGCTTGTAGATCTGAACTGGCATTGGTAAAGGTTGGAGGCAGAGGCCAATTAGGAGGGTATTGCTAGTGTTTGAATTAATAAACCAACAATAATGTGGGTGCGAGCTGGGAAAGCAGCAGTGGGAAGAGAAAGGAGGGGTGGATTTTTGAAAATTGTAATTCAAATCCATAGGACTTAGCGACTGGACTGTTTTTGTGTGAAGAGCAAGGGGGAATGGGCCTTCCGAGGTAGCGATGTGATATTGAGACTGGAGCGTGAGAAGGAGGTGGAACCATCAAGGTAAAGGGAGGCCACAAATGCAGGTGGTGCTGGAGTGAGGTGCTGGGGTGGCCACAAAAGTATAAATAGCCTGTATAACCCATGAAACATCCGTAATCATACGTGGACGTTTGTGGTCGTGGCTGGTGTGGCTCAGTTGGTTGGAGCGGTGGTCGGCAAACTCATTAGTCAACAGAGCCAAATATCAACAGTACAACAATTGAAATTTCTTTTGAGAGCCAAATTTAAACTTCTTTTAACACTACTTCTTCAAAACAGACTCGCCCAGGCTGTGGTATTCTGTGGAAGAGCCACACTCAAGGGGCCAAAGAGCTGTATGTGGCTCCCGAGCCGCAGTTTGCCAACCACTGGGTTGGAGCATTGTCCTCTGCACCAAAGTGTCACGGGTTCGATTCCTAGTCAGAGCACATGCCCAGGTTGTGGGTTCGATCTCCAGTTGAGGCACCTACTAGAGGCAACCCATTAATATTTCTCTCTCACATCAATGTTTCTCTTTCTCTCTCTCTCTCTCTCTCTCTCTCTCTCTCTCTCTCTCTCTCTCTCTCTCTCTCTCTATCTCTCCCCTTCTCCCTTCCTCTCTCTCTAAAACCAATAGAAACATGCCCTGGGGGAAGGTAAAAATAAGTAAGCAAATAAAAAACCATTTGTTGAATGAATGCAGGAAGGAGGGAAGGAGCTTTCCAGGAGGAGATCTGTGGCTCAGGAGAGAGGGCCAGCATGGAGGGGTACATGTGGAGTCAGGACACAGAGGTGGTAAGTGAAGGAGAGGAGGAGAGGACCCGGGGCGCGCGATGCGGAGCAGGAAGAGAAGTGGCTGAAGACATAGTCAGAGTGGACACAGGCGGGGGGCAGAGTCCAGAACCTAGAGAGAGCAGAGTTGCCAACGTGGGAGGAGGCAGGTGGCTCTAAATAAAGAGGGACCCAGCACAAGTCACTAGCGCAGCAATCTTGGAGTTTAGGGACGGAAGGAAAGCATGATGTGCCGTGTTCTGTGCTCAGAGCTTCACCTGCCTTTCCCTCACACACCCTCGGAGGTAGGTCCTGCTAACTGAACTGGGAGAGGAGGTTCAGGTCCATTCAGTGACACACACACACACACACACACACACACACACACACACACACACCAGCGTCACACAGCTGGCAGGTGGAAGGGCAGCCAAACCGTTTGGTGAGGGTAGGAGCCAGCTCTCAGCGCCCGGACAGGAGAAGGGGACAGACACCCGCACATGCTCTGTGCTCCCCTGGGCCTGGGGCTGAGCTGGGTGCTCTGTGAAGGCAGACCCCCGGCGGTGGACGCAGAGAGAGGGTGGGCGGGCAGCCGGGGAGTAAAACGGGGCGCTGCTCTTTCAGAGAGGGGCTGCTCCTCTGGGGCCTGCGCTACCACCTGGTAATAGTGTCACAAGACAGAAACCTGCCTTCCAACGAGCTTCTTTAACCTACATCCCCGCCACAGCGCAATGCAGCGCCGTGCTACGCCCTCACACGGGGAGCAGCTGCCTCTTAATGTTCACTGCGTGTGCAAGTGCCCATGCATTCCAACGGTACATACTTTTTTGGCACATCCCTTCTTTTTTCCTGGTGAGAGTATGATATTTCCTTTGAAAACGATAATGCCCCTCAGCTCTGGATCATGGGAGACAAAAGGAAAATAAGCCATGAGGACAGACGAGCCAGCCACGAAAACCAGCAAGCAGTGAATTCTATTCATCCCGGGGCCGGAGAGAGCTGCGAGGGAGAGAGCATCTGTGCCCTGGCCTTTGAGGACCACACCCAGGCCTTCCTCTGGGGACATGGGGGGCCCTGTCAGGGAAGCTGTGGGGTTGGGGGGCCTCCGAGAGCAAAGCATGCTGAGCCCGAGCGGGCTGCTCTGCTGGGCGGTTGCTTGCAGCCCAGCCATTGTATCCTGAGAGGCATCCAGGGGAGGGAAGGCCAGACCTGTGCTCAGGCTTCACCGGCAGGGGAGCAGCCCGGCAGAAAGGTGGCTGTAGGTCAGCCCTCGCCTCAGGCTGGGAGGAAGCTGTTTGATAAGCTTGGAGCCATCCCTGCTCTAGAATATCAGCGAGCTTTTCCTGGAGGGGATTTTAAATGAGCTCCCAGGTCAGAAATATAATTTGGGGAGGTTGAAAAAAAAAAAGGTAGAGCCCTAACCGGTTTGGCTCAGTGGATAGAGCGTCAACTACAGACTCAAGGGTCCCAGGTTCAACTCCAGTCAGAGGCATGTACCTTGGTTGCGGGCACATCCCCAGTAGGGGGTGTGCAGGAGGCAACTGGTTGATATTTCTCCCTCTCCCTCTCCCTTCCTCTCTGTAATAAATAAATAAATAAATAAATAAATAAATAAATAAATAAATAAAATATGTATTTTTGTAAAAGGGTAGATTAGAAAGCTGTGCTCACCCGGTGCCAAAACAATGAATGAAAATGAGAAGAATGGAATCCACCCATTGTTTGGATGCCCCTCCCTGCTCCCCAGGACGAGGTATCTCTGTGAAGTGCTCAAGGCTGAGTCTCCACAGGACCCCCCTAGTTCCACGTCCACCCCTCCATCCTAATGGCACCTCCAAGGCGCAAGTTCCAATGTCTGATCCAGGCCGGTTTCTGAGAAGCAGGTTTTTGACTTGTACCCACCCCTGGCCAGTGACAGCCTGCGCCCCAAGACAAAGCTAGGACTGAGGCAGACCTCCCACCTCTGGCTTGACGGAGAGCTAGCATCAGGCGGCCACCGCATAAAGCAATGCAAAGCTGAACCGAAGGCCCCGCTTTGGCCTGGCCCTAGCATGACTGCCCCTTGGTGGGGGCTGCGTGGAGGCCCACATGCTGGGACCCAGGGCGGCGTGGACGGAGACTCTGGCAGCGTTGATCTGCAGTCCTCAGCATCATGAGCAGTGAGGGCACACGCTCGCCTCCCTGGAATCTTGGAGCCTGGTACTGCTTTACATCTGAGGGCTGGTTTTGTCCCTTCAGCTCCTTCCCAGGCAGGAAGCAGAGGCAGCCCCAGGGCCGGGACAGGACTGTGAACACACCCCACCTCCAGAAAGGGTCTGGGGCAGCCACGAGCCCTGAGGCACCCCCAGGCTAACTGTCCTGCTGCCCGCTCACCACCAGGCCAGCCATTCCAGACTCTTGGGGGACACCTCAGTATCCATGCTACCTTTAATACCATTGCAGGGTATATTATAATGTTTGCTGAACTATGAACTTGAACTTATATGAAATTGCCATTTTTGGAGGGGAAGGGGTATATATCAAACATGGTAAAAAAAAAAAAAAAAGTGATGTGTCTATTCTCACACTAGAAATTGTGAGAAAAACACAGGCTGTGGTGGAAAGAGCACACTTATGACAGCCAGTCCTGGGTTCAAATCTCACTTCTCTATCACATTCATTCAACAAACATATACTGAATCCCTGCGATGGGCGTGGGCCTGCCCTGGCAGCTGGACGTGTCGTGCTGACGAAGACAGATGGGCCTTGCGCTTCGTGGCCCCTTTAGTGGCGGCTTATCTTCTGGGGCCACTTCCTCGCTCTGTGATGCTGAACTCTAGCGAAGTGTTGTGAATATTAAGTGAGATCATGGAAGTTAGGCCGGAAATGCATTGATGGCCTTTACTGAACGGTACTTCCTCTTATTTTACTCATAGAGAAAGTCTAATAAATATTTACTGAATGGGAGAGCCTTGGGATGTACTGTGGGAATCTTTAAGTCTACCCCCTAGGACCGTGGTCGGCAAACTGTGCCTCGTGAGCCACATGCTGCTCTTTGGCCCCTTGGGTGTGGCTCTTCCACAAAATACCATGGCCTGGGTGAGTCTATGTGGAAGAAATGGCATTAGAAGAAGTTGAAGTTTAAAAATTTGACTCTCAAAAGAAATGTCAATCGTTGTCCTGTTGATATTTGGCTCTGTGGACTGATGTGTTTGCCGACCACTGGCCTAGAAGCCTAAACTAGATGCCCCCACAGGGGAAAGGTGCACCTGGGCAGGGGCCACTGTAGGGGAAGCTCTTGCGTCCCAGAGACCACCACTCCCCACCCCCTAGGACCTGGGAGAGACCAGCTGTGGTCAGCTCCCATGAAGGCAGGAGGGCAGTAGGCATAGGGAGGGAGGGTCTGGTTCATCTTTCTTAATGTATGTGAAATCATCTAATCCAAAGAAAATAATTATCAGAATTATTGACTAAGGCAAAACAGAGGCTGAGACCTTACAGGAGTCCTGGAAATTATCTGTAGGAACTTCTGGTTTTAGAAACCAAATAGATTTGCTACTCAACTAAGTCACTGGCGTGAATCGATGATTCTCTCTCATCATGGATGTTTCTATCTCTCTCTCCCTCTCCCTTCCTCTCTGGAATCAATAAAAAATATCAATAAGTAATAATAAGTGCAAAGTTGCTATTGAACAGTAGAGCCTCTAATGGTACCTTGCCCATCTTCATAGTCTTGAGTTCTGTGCTGCTTTCCCGGTCCATTCATTGTAAGTGATACACAGGGAAGTGAGACCAACAATTGCTTTAACTTGTTTTCATACAGTTTTCTGGTGGAAGCTGAGGGAGAATGTGGAGAACAGTTTAAGTTGTTCTGTTTGTATACGGGCTCTTATTGGGTTCAAAGTATTTCACAACTCAGATCCTTATTCTTTTTATTTAATACTAGTAGCCCTGCACACGAATCCATGGGTAGCTCTCTGCCGGCTGCCCCACCCTCCTGCAGTTTCCCTCCCTCCTCCTCTCCCTCCCTTATACCTTGCAGCCCTGCCCCCTTCTGTAGTTCACGGCCCAGCCCTCCTGCAGAACCATGATCTGGTCCTTACAACTCAGGGCATAACAGATAATGCCCTGTAGGAACATTAGCATATTCCTCTCATTATATAGGGGGGGGGGGTATTGATTTCTGAGAGAAAGGGAGGAGAGAAATAGAAACATCAATGATGAGAATTATTGATCAGCTGCCTTGCACTAGGGATTGAACCTGCAACCAAGGCATGTGCCCTGCCCGGGAACAGAACCATGACCACCTGGTTCCTAGGTTGAGGCTCAATCCCTGAGCCATGTCAGCCAGGCTCAGATCCTTCCTCTTATACTTACATTATTAACTGGGTTTTTCACAATGAGGGGGACCTCCCATCTACTCAACTCACTCTGTCCCTTCCACAGACACTTCAGGGGAAGCCTCTGTGAGTTAGCCATAGAGTCAGGCATTGGATACATCTGAGAAGACTGACAATATTGTAATTCCGTCTATTCCACAGACTCTATAAGGACTATGGACAATACATACATGCATGGTTAGCACAGTGCATATGCTAAGAATGGAAAAGAGCCCAGGATGATGTAATCAAGAGTAACTGGGGGGAAGAGATTTTTTTTTTCTGTCTGACTCCATACTTACTAATCTGTATGAAGTATCTGAGTCTGTTTATCACCTCTTACCTTCTTTAGGGTTTTTCTGCTTTTTTTTATTTTCCTATTTCTAGTTTAATGATTTTTATTACATATGTTTCTTTCACTAAAAATAAATTTAAATCTTTGAGGTAGTCTATGAGTCCTAGTCTCTTATATTTGCCGCATAGATACTCAGAATACATACATAGAATTGGGCCAGGTGAAAATCCAAGCTTATTAAGTTCATTCTGTAAGTCACAGTCACTCAGAAATTTCACGTCCACCATGGTGATGGCAGCTTGGTCTCTTTTCTGATAGTGAGATCTCTGAAAGAGTAAAACATTAAGTTCATTAAGACAGCCTTACAAGGAAGAACTAAAATGTCACCACTCAGTCAACGTATGTCCAAACTGAGCTCCCCAATCTTGGAGGTGCAAAGACAATAAAAAGAAAAAAAAATCACCATTTTTTGCTGTTTCGGCCACAAATCTATTCCAGATTTGTTTGCCTCGATGCAAAGCTTTGGATGGATGTCACTCTCCCCATGTTGGGGTTCACTTATTTCTAACTTTTCTACTCAACTAATGTGAGGAAATCCTCTGCCCAAAAGGAACGAATGAACACATATTTCTATTACTGCTTAGGAGCTGAGAGAGACTCAAGTTCTGAGAAGATAAGAAGTTAATTAAATATGAAAGAGCTGAGAGCGATTTTTTAGTGAGTTAAATAGAAGTTATTTATCCCAGCCCGCCTTTTGATGAGAGTACAGAGAGTACAGAGCATTCAGATATTGCAAACAGTAGTAGTTTGCACACTTGTAATTTAACTCTGAATGTAACAAGAGGGTCGTTTTTAATTAACCGCCAGCAGACTCTGTAATTGCTGAATTGGCATTTGAAAAAGTCAGCTGTTCATTCGCTTGCACGTGAATTGATTTATATAGATTCACGCAAATCTCAACATGGCTTCCCCAACCTGCACAGCCTCCCGTTCGACCAGCGTTATCCAGTTGATCCCTCTGTCCACCCAAACCGGCCCCTCCACCCACTTCACAAAATCCTAACGGACAGATCCATTTGTCAAACCTTTTAACAGAGATTTTTAATTTAGGGGTTTATTTATTGGACCTCGTTTCTATCATGTCTCCAGGCTTTTTAATATCACCGTGAAAATGGCTTCAAGACAATTACTCAGCATCGGAGGATCTGGACCAATTTTAAGTAATGACTTTGCCTCTATTGGTGATCAGTCAATGTCCAATTAGGAAGAACATGGTACACAGCTAGAGAAAGCTGTGAATTGTCATGCATACCAAGGCTGTTTGAGAACGCCCAGCTTAACAGGTCTCCACTTTTAAAGCTCTGCTCGGGCCAGGGTCACACAGGGGCTTAGAAAATGTCTTCCCCTCTTTTCTGTATGTTTGAGAAGCTGAAGGAACGCTTTTATTTTTTTATTTTTTTAATATATTTTATTGAATTTTTACAGAGAGGAAGGGAGAGGTATAGAGAGCTAGAAACATCGATGAAAGAGAATCATTGATCAGCTGCCTTCTGCACACCCCTCACTGGGGATGTGCCCACAATCAGAGTACATGGCCCTTGACTGGAATCGAACTTGGGATCTTTCAGTCCACAGGCCAACGCTCTATCCACTGAGCCAAACTGTTAGGGCTAAATTAACACTTTTAGGTCACTAGTAAACATCCTAACGTTAGGAAGGAAAAGGACAATGTGCTTCCATTTTTTATTTTTATTGATTGATTTTTTTTATTTTTATTTTTTACTGGAAGCTAGCTTAGGCAGATCCTGTGACATTTTCTCCAGAGAACAGCTGTCTGTTGTCTCACCACCTTCCCAAAAATAACCTCCAAAAGAGCTCTCATCCATTTCAAGTGACACTAGACAATTGCCTGGAGGGAACACACATATGGAAGAGGAATATTCAAATGGGATCCAACCGGATGATTCATCATCCACTCACCCCTTTACATGGTTGTCTGAAGTCTGTGCAGTTGGGTTGGTTACTGAAGCTGGGTGTGTTTCACCCAAGGGTTCCCACGAGCAACCAGCCCCTTTCTGCCTGTTGGATATTGTGATAATCATAATACTGACAGTGTGACATCAATAACCTCCTTAGCAACAGACTGATGTGCAAGTCTGAGGATTCATTTAACCTAGGGTCAAACAGAGGCGGCACTGGTTGACTTCACAGGCTGACTGCCATGTTAACATGTCAAGGGATGCAGGGGCGGTTATCAGCAGGCAACAGGAAGTGAGGAAAAGGAGCTGCCACCAAACCAAGCGCTGCTGAGAAACTGAAAAGATAAAGGAGAAATCAAATGTCAAGCATCTAGGCCAGTGGTCTGCAGACTCATTAGTCACCAGAGCGGCAGAGCATTGGCCTCGATGCTTGACATTAGTCACTCGAGAGCCTCATGTGACTCGTGAGCCACAGTTTGCCGACATATAAGAGCCACAGTAGCAGATGGGTAGTTTGGCCATATCCTCCAGGGCAGTGGTCAGCAAACTTATTAGTCAAGAGAGCCAAATATCAACAGTACAACGATTGACATTTCTTTTGAGAACCACATTTTTTTAAAAATATATTTTTATTGATTTTTTACAGAGAGGAAGGGAGAGAGATAGAGAGCTAGAAACGTCGATGAGAGAGAAACATCGACCAGCTGCCTCTTGCACACCCCATACCGGGGATGTGCCCGTAATCAAGGTACATGCCCTTGACCGGAATTGAACCCGGGACCTTTCAGTCGGCAGACCGACGCTCCACCACTGAGCCAAACCGGTTTCGGCGAGAACCACATTTATTTTAAACTTAAACTTCTTCTAACGCCACTTCTTCCAAATAGACTCGCCCAGGCCGTGGTATTTTGTGGAAGAGCCACACCCAAGGGGCCAAAGAGCCGCATGTGGCTCACGAGCCGTGGTTTGCTGACCACTGAAAATGAGAAAATGAAAGTAACCTGTATTAACTTGTTAAGGAGTTGCTCATTTAAAAATATGGATCCGGTCAGAGTGCAGATAAATAGTACGTTGCAGAATGTGGATGGTTTGGGCCTTTTCAAAGCAAACTCGTATCCCGTTTCATGCTCGGCACACTCCTATGACAGCCGGGAACAGACAGCATCTATGTTGCAGGAGGCCAGTTCTTGTTGTTGTTGCTTAAGTTTCTTTAAGGAAAGATCCCTTAGACTAGGAGCTTGAGTTTGCTGAGACAATCGTGCAAGACAAATTAGGCTGAAACACTTATGCAAGACAAAATGTGACTTTGGGAAAACACATGTCTTAATTAAATACCAGGGATCGGAAGGAGTCACCCGAAAGGGGTTAAGGGGACAGTGGAGCCAGCCTGACTGGAGCCAAATTCCAGCCTGCCTCTTTCCAGAGTGGGTGATGGATGCCAAGTAGGGGAAGTTACTAAACTCGTCGTCTCCTTTGCTTCATCTGCAATGGGGATGGCAGGGGTGCCCACCTCACAGGGCTGTCATGTGCATTTAATGAGTTCTACCACACAGCAAGCACTAATTATGCATGTGCCCTAGCCTCAGAGACATCCTACATCCAGCCTCTTCTCCAGGGGGCTCCATTCTACTTACACTTACCGTGCGACCCTATCATGTCTGTACTTCCCCGATGCTGGGAAAGGACTGAGCACCTTTGGGCGCTTGGTCAGGGAGGCTCCTTGAGTGATCCACACAGAGCCTCTGTGGTAGGCCGTTAGACAGACTGAGCAGAGCAAGGACGATGGGCCAAGTACAGAAGGTCACCAGGGGGAAAGCCCCCAGTGCCTGGCCAAACTGGGAAAACAAGACACCCCCACACACACACTCTGAAAGGACACACCTGGGAAGCTGCTGGATATTCTGAGAGCTGCAGATACATACTCTCAGGTCGAAGGACCCAGGGTGCTCTCTCTGTCAAGAGCACGCCCTCACTTTTCTCATTTTCTTCCTCTCCCCTCCACCCCACCTCACATTGCATGACCTTTACCTTTCTCACTCCTACGCTCTAAGAGTCCCTTCGTTTGCCTCTGTAACTTGTTTCCTGAGCCCATTTCTTCTGTCACTCACTTCTTCCACTTCTGTGGCTTTCTAAATAAACTTTCTCTTCTAGCTGGAGCCTAGTCTCAGAATTCTTTCTTAGCCAGGACTCAAGTACTGAGGTGGCTGAACCGAGGTCCGGTTTGACTCCACCCGTCTAACCCCTGGTGCCATTCCGCTGCCAACAGTTCCAAGAGCCCTGGCTCAGTTTCCAAACAAACATGTAATACACACATTTGCCAACATCCAAACACTGGATGCACCAGACAAAGAGGTTGAAAGTTGGCACGTTTGTTTCAATCAAAGCACATAAATGATAGGCTTGGGTTATTAGGATGCACAAGCATTTTGTTTACATTTCCCAGAATTGCTTTACACACACAAGGAAAGCAGACAGCTGGTGGAACCCCTTCCATTTAAGCAGTTAAAATATTGGAATGAAACAGGCATTTCTAAAATAGTTTTTGGTCAGACCTCTGGGGATTATAACAAGCGAGGCTGACAAAGGATTCAATCAGATACTCTCCTTGGGTGGAGCCCTCTATTATGTGCAAGCTATTCTGTCTGAGGTCATTCTCTTAAAGATTCCCCCACCAGCTCATCCATGGCTCTACTCTCATCATTGTTCTGTTTAAGAATTCCTGTACTCTGCCTGACTGGCATGGCTCCGTGGTTGAGCGTTGACCAGGAAGTCAAGGTTCGGCTTGATCCCCAGTGTGGAGCGTGCAGGAGGCAGCCGATTAATGATTCTCTCTCCTTGATGTTTCTCTCTTTCTCCCCCTCTCCCTTCCTCTCTGAAATCAACTTAAAAAATATATTTTTTCAAAAAGGATTCTTGTACTCTGCAGGATGCTGAAATATCCCATTTTGATGTTTACAGCCCCCAGTTCCCTTGGTTGTACCTGTGAAGTCTTGGGCATTAGCTTGTTTTTTATTTCCTCCATGGCTGCGAACATATTTTATTCCAGTTCTTGAGGGAAGTTTTAATTGCCAATCGACTAGGTATTCAACATGATAAGGTATCTGAACCCCGAGAGCTTCCTCCTTTCGTTAAAATGTGGATCCAATTTCTTCTCCCTTAATGCCACATGCCGTTATTAAACTGAAATAACGGAAATAGTAAAAGCCAGATGTCACTTCAGTCTCAGGTCTGACGCGGGGCACAATTTCCTCTCCTCAAGTTCAATCTGCCCTTATTTACCAGCCCCATCCTTCAGAAGAATGCACAAT